CAGCAGACATACAACCACACACACACACACGCACAAACACACACAATCACTCACCTGGTTGACCCTCACGACGCTGACAATGGAGCAGTACTGCTCCTGACGGCTCGTCTCCTCCCGCAGCACGCCCAGCAGCACCAGCCGCCTGAGAAGCTTCTCGGCGTCTGCCCGCAGCATCTTGGCGCCGGCGCCGTAGCCGGGGGCCGACTCATGCTGCCGGGACTGGGCCTGTGGATTGGTGAGAGAGGTGATTCCGGCGATGGAATGGTGGGCGCGCCGATCACCCGCTGAGCTTCAGCTACGCACGACCGCATCGATTCGCCCCCTGGTCCACAGCCACCCTCCACAGAATCACCTCCCATGGGGAGCCGGGGATTTCTGCGTGCTGCTGGCTAAACGCGGCGGAATGTGATGCGGGAGGTGATTCACAGCCACGAAAAGTCAATGGCGGCGGGGCAGCCCGGCCATCGGCGGCACCATCGGGCTTGGCACACGTGCTGGGAAAGAAGGGCTGCCTCTCTTGTCAACCCCCCACCTGTGGCCTGTTGCGGCTGCTGACCGCGCCCCTGAACAGCTCCAGGATGTAGGTCGCCGCCCAACCCTTGCCGCCTGCCGCCGCAGCCGCGCCGCCGCCGCCCCAGCCGCCGCCGCCGCCGTGCGGCTGGGGGCCGTCTATGGCCTCCACCAGGCGGATGAGGGCGGCCGACTCCTCGGTCACGTCTGTCTTGACCGCCTTGGGGGTACGGGAGACGGAGCGGTGTGTGTGTGCATGTGTGTGTATGTGTGTGCGCGTGTGTGAAGGTGTGAGTGTGTGTTGCATCCTGCCCGCTGCTGCTTCGTCGCAAGCCTGCACTAAACCAGCCACAGTTGTGTCGTGTGATGGCATGCTGTGTCAGCTATGAGCGCCCCCATCACCTCCTCCCTCCCCCCCACGCATACCCACCTGCTTGCCACCCGCCCCAATCTGCCGGCCGACTGCAAAGCTCAGTAGCCCCCCTCCCCACCACCACCACCCCACGCCCGCTGCCGCCCCCCACCTGCTTGCCGCCCGCCGCCAGCTGCTGGCAGACGTCGCAGGTCCCCGCGCACTGGTCGGGGCCGAACCCGCGCTCCCCAAAGTGGTGCATCAGCATGGACCGGCGGCACTCCGCAGTGCTCTCGGCGTACGCGATCTGAGGGGCGGTCCATATTGGGCGCAGGTTGGACGGAGCACGAGGTTTGGGTTGTGCTGCGCAGGCGGCCGATTGGTACTGGTGTACACTGTGCGCCGTTGAGCCCAATGTTTGGCACCCCCTCCCGACAGCTCAGACTCCCCTCACTCTTCGCCTGTCCCCCCATACGGACCCCTCCGCTCTCGAATTCTCACTCCTATATTCACAAAGGATTGGGAATCCACCCGAATGTCCATTTGCCTTACACCCTGCCGTCCGCGCCTGCTGCACCCCTTAAAAAACAACACGTCACCCAAAATACACAAGGTGCCCCCCACCATGGCGTTGAGCGCGGCCTCGTTGCTCTGCAGCACGTCCCAGGGGGTGGCGTTCTCCTGCGCACTCTGCTTCATCATGTGGCGGCCCTTCTGGGCTGCGGGGCGGGGGGTAGGGGGGGTGGCGAAGGAAGGGAGGGGGCGGGGCACGCCAAGGGTGGAGGTTGGGCGGCGGGGCGCAGAGCGGGGAGCGGGGTGCGGCAGGGGGGTGGGAGGGGTGTAGGTTGGGGAAAGGACACCATGCAGAGGGTGTTCAAACATCACCATGCGGGGTTCTACCATTGAGAAAACAGCATCGTGAGTAGCATCAGCAGTCCGCAAACTCGCTGCGCACTGCACCTTCACACCAGGCTGCAGATGCACCCCCCCTCCGAATGTCAGCACCGCCCCCCTCCGCGCGTCTTAACCCTTGCACCCCCTACCGTCTGCGTATGAGTAGAACAGGACGCACTCTGCCAGCTCCCCGTCACGGCCCGCCCTGGGGCCATGGAAGGCAGGGGTGTGGGGTGTGCGGAGGGGGCGGGTGCCACGTCAGCGTTGCAAACGGACAGCAGCAGCGCTGCACGGTGCTGGGAACAGACGTAACACTGCCGGCCAGTTCTCGTGTCACAGCACCGATCCAGCCTCTGCTTGTGGCGCTGCCGTTTTCGTCGTGTACCCCATGCCAGATCACAGCCAGATTTGCTTCGATAGAAACGGCCAGATAGTGATGGCGGCAGCTGCCCGCCCCCCCCACCTGCCGGTCTCCTGGTGGTACCCCTCGAGTGACTTTGGCAAGGAGTAGTGGATCACAAAGCGTACGTCGGGCTTGTTGATGCCTGAGCAACAATAGTTGTTGTTTGGGGCATCATGTAGGCATAGGTCATGTACAGAGAGTGCGCAGGGGGCGGGGGGCAGGATGAGGCGCCCACATACATGGGGGTGGGGTCGGCCGGGCCCGGAAGCAGGACGGGGACAGCTCAGCCGGCGGCGGTTGCGCCACATAATACGACACCGCGTGCACGCGCCGCCATAATATCCGCCCTCCTGCGCAACAGGTGCGCCTGACCTCGACGCCGGCTTCGTTCCCACACATCTCGAGATCCTGCCCAACCGCCCCCCCCCCCAGACTGGCGCCTGTGCCCCAGAAATATCCCAAAATATCTCACCCATCCCGAATGCGATGGTGGCGACGATGACCTGCAGGTCGTCGCGGCTCCACGCTGACTGTACGCGCTCGCGCTCCTCGGGGGTCAGGCTCGCGTGGTAGTGGCTGGCGCGGGGTGGGGTTGGGGG